ATGGTCTGGGGGTTGCCACATGTACACTAGGTTAAAGAGAGAACCATGAAAAAAGGCATTTTTACGTCAAGTTAGCGTATCTCCCATCCTTTGATGACGACGACCATCAAAGAAAGTTGGATGCTAACAGTTTTGATCAATGGGGAAAGGTTTCAGAGAAATCAATGCCATCGACTTGATGAAAGCCCTTGGCAAGTAACCGAGCTATGAGTCTCTCAAGTGAACCATCTAATTGAAATTTGACCTTGTAGACTCATTTGACTATATTCATGTTTGGAATAGATGGAACAAGAGTCCATGTGTTAATAGCAGCAAGAGCAGTCAATTCCTCGTCCATAGTAGTTGACCAACTAGGATAAAGTTTGGCCTTGGTTATGGAGTGAGTTTCCGAAGGAATAAGGCCAAAAGCTCAGGTCATAGTAAAATTCTTGTATTTTCATATTGGGTTTATGAATTCCACGCTTGGATCTAGTGATCATGGAATGTTATGGCGTTGATTCAATTTCTGAATTTGGAGAAATAGGAGCTAGTTACAGCCTATGAAGCATGGATACTTCAAAAGGGTCAAAGTATCTGTATCGGATACTTTTGGATACAGATACACATCGGATAGGCGTTGAATACGTACCAGATACGTCTGAGAAGTTTCCTAAAATTAAAAAAATAAATTTAGTTTTTGGATATGGCCGGATACGTTTTGGATACGAGTGGGATACACCTAGGATACGCATAAGAATAGGGCGGGATATTACTCAAATTTTTAAAAAGTATAAGGGCACAAGAGCAATATATGTAGACCCTTATTTGCAGAAAAAATATATATATTATTAAACTAAAAGTCTAAAAGACTAAAACCTGTACACTTTTTTTCCACAACCCGTCAAGCCCCCCACTCCTTTCAGTCGATACTCGACGACGATCGTCTCTCTCTTTCGCTCTCACTCACTCACACTGACGATCGACTGACTCTGACTGTATTTGACGCCGATCGACGACTGGTATCTCCTCTGTCACCTCTGACAAAGGGGTATCTCCTCTTTCACCTCCGACGACAGGTATCTCCTATTTCACCTCGGGTAAGCTCTCTCCTCTCTCTATTTTTCTATCTCTCTGTCCTAGTGTCCTCTCTTTTGCCTTTTACCAGTGGTTAGCACTCATTTTGAGCCTTGAATTAGGGTTTGCAATTTAGGGGAATGAATTAGATGCACAATAAACTGATTTTTTTTAAATTATTAGATGCACAATAAGTTGAACTCCATGCTCTATTGATATTTCTCAAACCAATTTTTATATGCATGCTGGAATATCATTATGCCGATTCTGGATGGATGTTGGGTTTCTTGTTGAAAATTAGCTTCATTTTGCCGTAGAAGTGACTTGGTTTTTCGGTTTATCCTTAGAAGTGATACACTTGAAAATTGGTTTGATATTGACTTGGTTTCTTGTTGAAAACATACACAGTACACACTTGAAAATTAGCTTCAAAGAAGGGAACCATTTATGTTTATGAGGCAAACAACATCTATTTGCTAAAAAATTTATTTAAGGTACAAGGTAACAACTTTTGTTGCATGTGAGCAAGAAATTTTTCCTTGATGTTCAGATTGATTAACTCTTGTCAATAAATTACTACACTATTGAGGGCTGATTTATTTTATTAAATTAATAATTATAGGGGAATGAGTACGCGTACGAAAAGTATGGGCTCAACTGGTAGAAGTGGAAGTGCAAGTGGCAACGCCACTCAAGATGATAATTCTCCACTTTGGGCTTTTGTTACTATATTAGAAAAAAGGGTGGAAGGAGGTAGAAATACTAGATTCCGATGCAATTTATGTCGTAATGAGTATAGTGGATCATATTTTCATGTGAAGGCACATTTATTGAAAATTTCTGGTCATGGGGTTAAAGTGTGCTCTAAAGTGACTCCCCAAAACTTATTGAAATGCATAGGTTAATTGAAGAAGCAGAGAATAGGGTTAAAATGACTATGCCAAAGAAAGTTCCTTTGCCACCTTCCTCTTTCGAGGCCCCTATAACTAGAAGTATGTGGATATCAGAAACTGGAACACTTAGAATGGAAGGTTTTGAACCAAGAAAAAAAAGGCGACTGGAACTAGTGCTTTGGAGAAAGCTTTTAACTCGGGTACTTGGGAAATTGCACTCTCACATTGCACGAATATTTTATTCAGGTGGCTGGCCTTTTCATTTAGTTAGGAACCATATAATGTGAGTTTTTATACATTTGCTGCCACTAATTTGATTACTGGTTATGTACCACCTGATTACAATACATTGAGGACCACACTACTTCAAAAGGAAAGGGTACATGTAGAAAGGTTGTTGGAGCCAACTAAATTGTCATGGAAGGAAAAGGGAGTGAGCATTGTTACAAATGGATGGACTGATTCACTAAGAAGACCTCTTATCAATTTCATGGCTGCATCAGAATCTGGGGCAATGTTCTTAAAAGATGTCAACTGCGATGGTGAGATCAAAGATAAGTTTTTTATTGCAAACTTAATCAATCAAGTAATTACAGAATTTGGACCTAAAAATGTGGTTCAAGTAATTACTAATAATGCTCCTGTTTGTTGTTCTGCTAGATTAATCATTCAAAATGAGTTCCAACATATCTTCTAGACCCCATGTGTAGTGCACACATTGAATCTTGCCCTTAAGAATATTTGTGTAGCAAAAAATCTTGAGAAGAATACAATTACTTATGAGGAATGTCACTGGATTACAGAAGTTGTTAAAGATTTAGTAACTATCAAAAATTTCATCATGAATCATTTTTTGAGGTTGTTTATCTTCAATGAGTTTGTTCCTTTAAAGTTGCTTGCTGTTGTAGACACTCATTTTGCATATACTATTATAATGATGAAAAGATTTAAACTCATCAAGCATGATCTTCAAGCAATGGTAATTAGTGAGAAATGGTCTTCTTACAAAGAAGATGTTGTTGTAAAAGCGGCATTTGTGAAGGAAAACATCTTGAGTGACATTTGGTGGAATAAGATAGATTATATACTTTCTTTCACATTGCCCATTTATGAGATGTTGAGGGTTTGCGATACAGACATACCATGTCTTCATTTGGTTTATGAAATGTGGGACACAATGATTGACAAGGTGAAGACAACTATATATAGGCACGAAGGGAAGCCAGATAATGCAAGGTCAATCTTTTATGATGTGGTACATCGAGTTCTAGATGTGCTAAAAGTAACACACCTCTTCATTGTCTTGCATATTCCTTAAATCCAAGGTGACAACTTTCTTTTTAGTTTTTACTCTTAAATTACTTCTTTTTTTGTTATCGAGTTGGTTTTGATATCTTCTAATTTTACAATATAGGTATTATATTGCACAGTGGCTAAATGAAAATCCCAATTGTGTTCCTCCTCACATGGACGGAGATATTTCATCTATAAGAAATAAATGCTTTCACAGATACTTCTCGAATCCACAAGAGAGAATGAAGGCTAATACTGAGTATGCTAAGTTCTCTAATTGTTTGGATCAATTTGGAGAGCACGACTCAAGAATACATCGTGGATTAATGGACCCTCTCATGTGGTGGTTTTCTCATGGGTCTCCTGCACCAATGCTTCAATCTTTAGCATTGAAATTACTTAGCCAACCTTATTCCTCATCTTGCAGTGAAAGAAATTGGAGTACTTAATCTTTCATTACTTCCATGAAAAGGAAAAAAATGACACCACTTCGTGCCCAAGATTTAGTTTTTGTACACAACAATCTTCGTCTCTTATCGAGGAGGAGTAAACAATACATGGAAGGAGATACGAAGCTATGAGACATTGGTGGAGATGCATTTGATTCATTGGAGGGTGCTGGGTTGCTTGAAGTTGCAAGTCTTTCACTTGAGGAGCCAGAGATGGAAGCTATGTTAATCCAAGATGGAGGGGATATAAATGAAGATAATTTTGGGAAACATCTTAGTAACAAGAGAGACTATTTTGTTGCTTGATCAGTAATAGGATAATATTCCAAATTACAAGCTTTTTGTTGCTTGACGTCACTACAACAAAAATCATTTTTTGCTACAATTTTTTTCGTCCCTAAATTAACAAAAATCGTCGCCAATGATTTTTTGCGACGTTTTTTTTTGTCACGTGTTCATAGCAATAGTCTCGTCGCATAAAGTATTATACGACAATTTTTTTTTCATCGCAAAAAAAAAATTTCGCGACGAAAATAAAAACGTCGCGAAAAATAAAAAAAACATTGCTAAAATCCATTCCACCGACGTAAGAAAGTAAAAAATAATAATTTAATTAACTTTTCGCGACGTAAAAAAATCGTCACAAATAATTTTTTACATAAATAAAAATGTGAAAAATAATAATTTAATTAACTTTTCGCGACCTAAAAAATATCGTCGCGAATAATTTTTTACATAAATAAAAAATATTAAAAATAATAATTTAATTAAATTTGCGCGACGTAAAAAAATCTTCACGAATATTTTTTTAAATAAAAAATGAAAAAATTAATAATTTAATTAACTTTTTGTGACGTAAAAAAATCGTCGTGAATATTTTTTTCATAAATAATTTTAAAAATAATAATTTAATTAGCTTTTCGCGATGTAAAAAAATCGTCGCAAAAAAGCTTGTTCTTGCAATTTTTCGCGACGATTTTTATTTCGTTGCAAAAAAGTTCATTTTTTTTTATTTTACATCAAAAATGATATTCCAATAAAATTTTTCACATGTGCACCAATAATACCTGTGTTCAATAAAAGACTAACACAATTAATACAATGCACATCTTTTCAAAAAATAAAATAAAATTTTATTTCCAAAAAAAATGAATTACAAGAATCAAAGAACAAGAAATTTTAAAAATAGAAAAAATAGTTTTAGTCCACAACACAGCTCATCTGCAGAAGCAGCTAACAAACACAATTTGTAGCTCAGCTCCTGCACAATTTGACCCCTGTCATTAGCTTAGCAACTCTGATCACTGCATCATCAGACAGCCTGCAAAGGACCTAAAGCAGGAGGAACAGATCCACTTGCAGCATAGCTCCTATTCTGGCTGTCCATTGCAGCTCTAAGCTCAACAGCACAGCAGAAAAAACCAGTTGTTCAGCAACCAAAAACTTGGAACCCAGGAATTGCAGCAGCATAGCTCAGCTCATAAATCAACACTTCTGTTAGAGGAAGCGTGTCTAATAGAGAGGAAAAGAAATCACTGCACAATGGTGACCAACACTAAACAGGGGCATTCGACTTCTTTGTTCCAATGGTGACCAACACTAAATTTCAGAATTACCTTTTTACACGATCTTTTATTTATGGTTGTAAATGACTAATTCTTCCACTCCTCTTATCACTAGGTTGTTAGCTGACTGACCATTCATCTGCATGGTGCAATCATATGGCTAAACTCATTTAACTACCATTCAGTGGAAGGGGCCAGGATAGCAAGAGTTGAGGAGGCAAGGGTTTTCTTATCTGTTATGCATCAACAAATATACAATGAACTACCTCGATGGATATCATATTCGTAGCATTTGCACCAGGTCTCATGTTTCTGAAAGCCTCCACAAGGTTTACATTTGACCTATTGGTGTAGTTTACAAACTCCTCTGCCGGCAGAGAAGTACCCTGCAAAACAATTTTAGGAGGTAAATCCAATTACAAATACCAATACAACTCTTGCTATGCGTACAACTCCTAATTCATAAATTAAGGCGACTATCATTGAATATGATACACCAATGGCTAACCATGCTTCAAAAACTCGCCAAAAGTAGACACATATTGGAGGCATTGCCTATCAGCATTAAAAAGTAACACAAAATGAAGTTTCGATATGTTTTTTCATTTTCATTTTTTATTGTTTTCTTTTGTGTTTTGTGTTTTTTTTGGGTGGGGTAACACTAAGTTGATGAACTAAATTGGAGATATCACTCATCTACATGACTAGGCAGGTTAATCAAACAGTAACAATATCACCAAAAAAAAAAGGAAAGGAAAGGAAAGGTAGTAGTAGGTCGCTAAATGGAACCTTGTCTCTGCAACTTTTGATTCTCGATGGATATCATATGTTTATCACAAAACTCAAACGTTGATGGCTTATCATAAAATCTTTCACCTTGGCTTGATGTGAGAATCTAGACTGATAGACAGAATTTATGGCTATCTCGCAAAGATCACAGGAACTGAGCTTCCATAACTGGAACACAAAGGTTCTGTAATCAACATAACCATGACCATGAGCGTAAACATTGGCAGAGATGGAATGGTCAAACCTTTGTTGCAACGTTGTATTCTTCCACAAGAGGCTCCTTTGTTAAATGAATTTGCAAAGGGTCATCCATAAAAAGCGATACATTTAAGCCACGCTGGAAGAACATCGAGAATGGGTTGCGAAAAGAGTCAAGTTTTCACTCATGTGAATTACAATATGAAATATTCCAGACACCATAGAATCTCACCCTTAGACTACCAGGCATACCTTGTTACCATTGAGGAAACACTAAATTTGTTTTGAAGCACCAGGAATGCAATATATAAATGGTCCCAAAGAGAACTCCTAGTAATTTAACAGACCTAAATAAAGGAAAAATGTCCAAGGAGAATTCCAGGCACCATGCCTTTAAAATTACCCAAGGTAGTGACACAAAGTAAAGCTGAATATTTGATCAACATCACTTTAGATAAATATTTTTTTGATAGGACACTTCAGATAAATTGACCATGCTAAGGTTGTCATTAATTGGAATTCCTAGACATATCAGGTCTGCAATAATGAATACCACCATGGCATGAAACATATAATTTTTAGGCACTAATTAAATAGTCAATTGTTAGGATACACTTAACAGTGTGCATCAGCATATACTAACATTTTTCATAACAATGACAAAATGAGATTTCGGTATCCTACAAACCTTATTGAGAGTATACAAGTTTGCATAGCAGTAATAAGCGTAGTAAGAGTATGCAGGATTGAACTCATTTGTCAATTCAACTGGCTTGGGCATATGCTTGGTAGGACGCCTTTCTGCTTTACTTTCATCATCTACGAGGTCGAAACCCCCAACCTGTATTAAAAAATGTTGAATCACATTGGGCACTAGACGTAGACTGCAAACCCAAGGGCAACATTTTTTGTTGTGTATGTAATTGATGGCTTATATAATGTGTATGTATATCTCTTATCATAAATTGTCTCAATAGAGTAACGAAACATCCCAAAACGTTTCCAAATTACAGTCATCCGTAAGAATTGAATCCAAATCGACATAAAACCTCAAAAGGTGCCCTTTAATCAACATCTCTGCAATGCCAAATCATTTGCAAAGCTCTCATAAATCCCAATCAGAGCTAGCTTACACAAAAATATAAATAAATACCACCATAATACTCCAAAATGTATGTAGAGAGAGAGGGCCTTGGATTTTGTCGGATAGATCTCTGATGAGAGATATCATTGCATTGAGGTGTTAGGTTGGTGCAGAGTGAAAGTTATGGTTTTGAGTTGAGAGAGAGGGAATCCTTTGGATCTCTGTTACTGATGAGATAAAGACGGTGTTGGAGCTCGAGGCTGAGGCCTCAAATCTTTGATTGAAGGTTGGCAATTTAGCTTACGTCCTTGGCTATTTCACCGATTTCTGGACAGATTTCATAGAAATTCTTCACGTCTTCTTCCTACAACGACGATCCGAAACCTTACAATTGAGATCTTGTTCGTAAGCTCTCAAAAAAAAGCTCTAGATCACCGATTCTCGGAGTATTTAGGGCTTTGTCGACCTCAGGGCAACGATAAAAAACTCAATCTTCTCGGTCGAACTCAAGGCAGCAGAGCAGGAGAGAGAGAGCGAGCGAGAGAGAGATGGCGAGGAGTGTCGTGAGAGAAGAAAGCGGTGAGGAAGTACTAGGACAAAAAAACAAAAAAACAAAAACACAAAAAGAATTCAGGGCAAAAGAATTTTTTAAAAATTATATTCTGCGACGAAAATAAACAACGTCGCACAAAATATTATGAGATAGGAATATTCCCAACAAACTTAAAACGTCGCAAAAAATTAATTTAATTAATATTTTAAAAATTTTTTATTTACGTAAAAAAATTATTGGCGATACTTTTTAAAAAAGTCACGAAAAATAATTTAATTATTTTTAAAAAATTTTTAATTTACGTAAAAAATTATTTGTGACGTTTTTCTAAAAATGTCGCAAACAATAAATTTAATTATTATTTTTTAAATTTTTTATTTATCTAAAAATTTATTTGTGACGTTTTTAAAAAACGTCGAGAAAAATAATTTAATTATTTTTTAAAAAAATTTTAATTTACGTAAAAACTTATTTGCGACATTTTTCTAAAAACGTCGCGAAAAATTAATTTAATTATTATTTTTTAAATTATTTATTTACCGTAAAATTTATTGGCAAAAAATTAATTAAATTATTATTTTTTATTTAATTTGTTAATTTCCGCCATTTTTTTTGCCAAAAAACAATTAGGAGGGAATCGCCTTTTCGCGACATTTTTAAAAAAAAGTCGCAAAAAACTTCCAAAATAGAAATTTAGAATTTATTTTACTTTAAATTTTAGATTATTTATTTTTTGCGACGAGATAAAACTATTTGCCACAAAAAAAATTTGTCGTAAAAAATTTCCACTTCCCGCCATTTCTCCTGCCCAAAACAATTAGGAGGGAATCGCGTTTTCACGACGTTTTTAAAAAAACGTCACAAAAAAATTGCCAAAATAGAAATTTGAGACAAAATTATAAAATTATCGCAAATAGTAAACTTTTTGTGACAAATTTAAAATTGTCGCAAAAAATTCTTTTTGTTGTAGTGCGTGTAATCGGATGGTTTCTTTTGTTTAAGTATGGACTTGATATTTTGCAATATGTATGTGTTGTTTAAGCTTGAATTTGATATTATGCAATATGTATGTGATATAGAATATATGATTTATGAATGATAGAATGGTTAGTTATTATTATATATCTTTGGTAGATGTGTGATTCACTTTATAAATCATAATTATTACATTAAATATAATAATAAAATTTTAAAAAATATATATTTTATGGACATATCCTAGCCATACCCGTATCCTATTTTTTCTGATTTTGCCGTATTTCCATACCGGTATCGTATCGTATCCGTATCCCGTATCCTTATCCGTGCTTCATAGGTTACAACGGTAGTGGTGAAACAACATTGGTACATGCAAATGGAGTCATAGTGATAATTCCAATAGAAGCATCAGCATATTAGCAGCAGGAGAGAAAATAGGGAGATCAAATATGGCCAGTGTAGCAACTGAAGACTGTCTAGTAGTGATAGAGTAGTATACTAAAAGTTTGATTTTTGTAGTGAAATTTATTTTATTAATTAATAAAAGTTTATTCTTTCCATTTTATTGAGAATTTATATGGGCAAAATATTTGTATTATATTATATATATATATATGCATGTGTGTCTTATATTTTACATTGTAGATAACTTGGTATGTAGAGTTCGACTTATACACAGAATATCAGATTGTTGGATCCTTGTATAATATGAGTATATGTTTACAATCGTATATGAAATTGGACATGTCATCGGTATGATTGTAGTGTAATATTCTAGTATAGTCTGTCTTGATTATAAAAGATTGTTTGATGTCTCGGATTATTGCACTAGTACATTTTGTGTATTAAACAGACTCATGTTAAGGTAATTATCTTTTACTGATTTAATAAGATAATAAATATCTCATGATTATTACAATTGTTTATGCTCTTAATTCCTAAATATTTAATTGGCACGTGCATATAATGTTTGTCACTTTAATTTATCAAATAGTGAGATTCATATTGGATCAATAAGCTCGATGAATTGGGAAACGATATTATTTGTATGGTGAAAATTAAATATTAAAAGAAACCACATTCTAGTTTTTATATGGGTTAATGATGTCATCTTGAGGAAGCTCATAAGTTTTGTTAATGTCAAACTCAACTGTGGATTTAATTATCCGACATAACAAATAAGTTGAGTGATAAGGTCTTAAGGAATAAAAAAAGTCAATTAAATATAATTGTTAGTGATTTATTTAATTGATATACATACATCTGTAATCTTAAACGTGGGGCGATTATTAAGCATATAATAATAAGGAGCTCGAATATAATTTTGAGACAAGACCCAAGAGATCAAATAATAAGTCTTTAATGAACTAACTTATTATTAATGGGCTGTAGGATGTTTGTTATGCGTTGAACATAGGAATCTTAAGCCCATTGAAAGCCCGGTCCTTATATCTCCTTAAGGTCTCTATCGTAGCCTATATATAAATGTCTAGGTTTTTTATTTCAGCATCTTATCTTTACTCATGTTTTTTAGGGAGGCTGAAAGAGAGAAAAGGATTCAGAGGTCTTGGCAGCCTACACTGCATCGGAATTCTGACGTTGTGGGATATACAACAGAAGGCTGTGACGTTTGTTGAGCTGTAGTCATTGTTCTGTTCTGCGTTTGTGCTGAGATGAGATCAGTCCCGAGAGATCTCGAATGTAAGCCCTAATTCCGCCTTATAGGGTTTTAAATAAAAATTTTTGATATTCGATACATACGCGCTATCAATGGCTCTTGAAATTTCCGTTCCAACAAGTAGATGTCGTGCGTAAAGTGCTAGAGCAAAGATGGTTGTTATTGTAGATGATCCAACAAAAGATAGATCGAAGACTGTTAATGGAGGAGGAACAGTTGATAAGGAACTGGTTTGAGAATCATCCTAGTTTGGAAAGGTGCAAAGATCGTCTCTAACTGAGGGGCTTCCATAAAGGTGAATAGGCTGAACAAAAAGAAGAATGCTTTCACCAAATACAACATGGCTAGAAATATAAACACGATTCATTGGGAGATGTAAGCATTTGTAGCCTTTATGTCGGGAACCATAGCTGATGAAGACACAAGTGACTTAGGCGCCAATTTGTTAGGTCGATGATCATCATGGTACAGAAAACATTTGGATCCTATCACATGTAAGGGAATGTAATCAGGATGCCTAACTGATGGGACTCTTCTGAAAGGCCCTATGATGAAGACACGTGTCCTCGGTTATGATAAAACACTGTTGCTTGGATCAAAGCACCATCGGCGAACGAATGTCCTCGCCCCCGAGGTACCCTCATATAGGATCATGCGTTCAGTATATTATACAACCAACACGTGTCCTCGGTCACCTATGTACCTCGGGTCGCGTACCTCTCTCGGTCCCCGAGATGAGCCTTTCCTCGGTGCCGAGAGTTACTCCGTCCTGGACGCTTTCTTCTACTCCAAGATAAGCTATTGACGTATAGGCCACTAGCCTAGGCTAGTCTAGGCTACTCATCATGACCTCGTCTTACACAAGTAATGTCAGAACACACTGGAATACAGAGGTCACAGCCAATAGGGGATGGACGCGTGGTAAATGATGTCACATCAGAGACAGACAAACTGCACGCCGTTACTGACACACTGCTTGGAAAAGCAAACAATTAATTGCACCCTTCTATTGATGAGACCGCATTTAATGCGGTAAGGCTCGAAAATGAAAGGCAATAAATGCTCCTATTACAGAGCATTTATTGCATCCTCCCCGAGAGGAGCATATTGTACCGTCGGCATCCCGACGACTGAGCATTGATTGCTCGGGACCCCGAGCAGTCAATTAGAGAAGACATTCCTCATCAGAATCAATGCACACGCTACCTGTGCCTAATGATCACCTGCTGACCACACTGACAACAATCATGAGCCTTTAAGGTATAAATACTCCTTGCAAAAGGCTAAGCGGGTATGCAACAACAAGCTCTTTACTACAATCCATTTTTCTCAGTGTTTTTTCCTTCCCTTCTCTCACTCAAAGACTGACTAGACCGTCGGAGGGGATACGCCGGAAAACACTCCGGCGCCCTTCTAACTTGTTTTTCTTTGTTCCAGGAACCCCTTCCACTCACACAGGATCGTTCTTCCTTTCCCAGGGTCTCCCGTTGCCGTTCCAGGTTACCACCGTACCTTGTAGGCTGTCCCAAGCAGCGTGTTTGGTCACTCAATCGGCTCACTCGAGTTCACCAGGGGAGAGATCTGTTCCCGTTTTTTATATTGTGCAGGATCTTGCACGCACAATCTGGCGCCGTCTGTAGGAAACGACTAGTTTTCCTAGTTTTCTCTCTATAAAGAACAATGACCATGGTGAACACTCGACAAAGAGGGAAAGGATCCCACCAAAGGAGTCTCGAGTTACAAGCTCCCTGTCATCACGGAGGGAGGGATCACACTAACACA